TTTCATTATTCTATATAGTCCAACTCCCTCGGTGGTGTAGTGGCTAGCATGTACGGCTGCACACCCGGAGGTCCTGGGTTCGAGTCCCGGGTCGGGCCTAGTTTAGTTATTGAGTCTTGCTGTATAGTAAGTCTCAGTACTACCGGAGTTGGGAAGCTGGCGGTGTTTCACCCCCGTGCCTCGGAGAGCACGTAAAGCCGTCGGTTCTGCGCCTTAACTCTCACTGGTCGTGTCGAGTAGTCATGCCACCGGAGTATGAGAGTGACAGGAATAGAGAGTGCACGTAGTGTCTGCGCGTACACTTGTGCACTATAATATCTCCTGCGCAGTTGGCTAGTCTCAATGAGATAGGCCGCCGTGGCCGGAATCGGTCAGGAGAACATCATACTATATTGTCTCATACAGGAGAAAAATACTAGTTTATCACCCGACTGTAGTGTTGTTTGAATGTATATTAAATAAAAATTGTGTAACTGTAACATAAGGTATATAAATTCAATTAAAATCAGCTAAATAGCCTTTGCAAATATATTATTTTACCTTTGAGCTTATTTCACACACTATAATTTATACTAAAAAGACGTTAATCTGTTTTACGCAGTCGGTTTTATTTTACTATTAAGTCACTACGCTTTAACTGTATGATAAATAGCATAAGTATTAAGTTTATATCACCTCCAGGTTAATTTCTAAGAAATTAATTAAATTTATAAGAAATCTATTGTTAACTGTAACGCCGGCGTGTCCGCGGTCGTGGAGGGATTATTTTTAATAGCATCACATTTGTCTTATATTAAATAACTAGCATTGCCCGCGGCTCCGCCCGCGTTCAGATGACCAAAAACCAAACTCTTAGGTTTTACATATTAGTATACTCTTACAATGCAGTTTTTGTACTTTTTCTCAGAAATGAGATGTTTTCCCGCTGTAAAAAGTATCCTATATGTTGACCCGGATAACCAGCTATCATCATACCAAATTTCATCAAAATCCCTCTAGTGGTTTTCTCGTGATGCGGTAACAGAAAGACTTTAATTTGGACTCTGTATCGATAATAATGTCTATTTCAATTAGATTTTCCAAAAAATATTTAATGTACACTTTCGACTTAGTTACAATTTCATTATATGTGTAGATTTTTATCAGAGAAGAGAAATGTAAAAGCACGTGGCAAATATTTACTTAGGTTCATTACGGAGTAAGATTTGTTACATCTATTAGAGGCTCTCAAAACCAATAAAACTATATTTACTATGGTCGTAGACAATTGTAATTTCACCAGTATTATGAAACCTACAATACGAGTTGCACAAAGCATGACCTTCTTGGCCCGCTACAATCGTTCGTATAACGGATTGGTATATCCTAGGATAATAGAGTTAGGGTGGCTTTCCAATTGTTAGAAGGACACGGTGCTATACAGATTACAGAATACTTTTGTTAATAGTATTAATAAATATAATATTTTTGCATTGTAATAAGGTATTTTTCTAAAACTTAAACTATGTATTAAAATAATGAAATTATAAATTAGGTGTAAATTCATACTAATATTATAAATGTGAAAGTGTGTTTGGCTGTTTGTTTGTCCTTCTTTCACGTCGAAGCGGAGTGACGAATTGGCATTATTTTTTGTGTGGAGATAGTTGGAGGCTGGAGAGCAGTAAGTAACATAGGCTACTTTTTACGGCGGCAGATTATTTAATTCCCACGTGAAATACCTTATAATACAATCAAAAAAATATTTATGATCTAAATTACTTGAAACATGGTATTAATGATATAGTATATGTATATATCTATATATATACACGTATATTGCTTCATCACTATAGTGCCCAAAACAGTAAGTTTTTTTGAAAAAACATCGACATTTCTAGACTTAAGAAATCTGAAATGAGCCACGTTAACAGCCAACAGGTTAGCTTGTGAAACATTGCACGAGATTAGGTTGAGAACTTACATGCACTAGTGTCCAGTGGGCAGAGAGGTTTAACAGATTGATAGTTTCCTAGGACTATACAGTTACTCGGTATCGCACTGAAATGTGATATCAGTGGTGTTAGATACGATGATATTACATACTGTGCCAGTTTACAGAATATTGCCTTTACAAGCAATCCGTGGTGAGCCACAGAATGTGAAATCTAGGCGGTTTGTTTTCTATTACAATTTTCTTGTCATAATTACTAAAGTACTTGGGTGACCGTGTTCCCTCGGGGTTTATGGCCGAAAAACATTAAAAAAAAAAGAAACTAAAAATTTGATACGAACCCAGACACCTGTGGTTGTCAAACTTGCGCCTTAGCCGCTTGACCACGATGCTTATGTCCTGCCGTGTGAATTAGCGACCACATTGCTTTCGAGCGATCGCGACGAATTGCTCGTTTAAATATATTAGATTATAATAAGTCCAATTGAATACTGAACCATTACTTATTAAAACAAAATATTGCGTCGCATTCTTACGTAATTTCTATTGAATTGATACTTGTTGAAAGAAGACTGAGACAAGACCGTATGCCCTTTTTTCAGTTTTTTAATCACTCGTTATACTTAAAGAAAGATATCTAAAACTAATACTTTAATTATACGAGATATTACGAGATTATAAGCAAAATATATATTCAGTTACTATTATAATAGGTATAGAATATTTCTGCTAATACGCACATGTATATTTATATTTTTGGGTTTTCAGACCCAACTTTTTAGATAAAATATAATTATTAATCTAGGTATAGATATCTTAGTCCATTATGAATATGGGTTCAGTTAGAATTACATGTTTTATTAATTTAACTTAAAAAATATAATGTTGCTACAATCTGCATGTAATACGAGAGAAACACGCTCAAGTTTGTTACAGTGTATTGTTTCTATAGTATTTCATTTGAGCCTCGGAAGGTTTTAGTAAGCTGACACCTGTTTGTTTATAGATATGTGTATATAGTATATACGTATTTATATATATGTTTTTTAAGCCAGCCTTTTCTAGGTGTTATCTAATATTAAAAATATAACTTATTTAAATATTTAAAAAAGACATAAATTAAGGGTTGACCTTTTAATGTCCCATTAGTACGTAGGGAATCGAAGTTCTACTAATGCTGGCTAAATGTGGGTTGGCGAGCTTCACAAGTATTGAAAACTAGTTACGTTCTCACAGATATACACTTACAGGTTACCTCAATATGGTTCCCAATTGAGGAACTAAAGAGGCAACCTACCACAACCGGCTACCACTGTCACTACGTTATAAAGTTTTTCTTCAAACTTCAAACAATGAATGAATAGAAAAATTTATTCTTTATCAAGATTTCTTTATTTATATCCTATATTATATATATAATATAGGATATATTTTATTTATATATAATATATCCAAAAATCCCCTCTTGGGCTCACCTACTATAAGGCTAATATTAGACCCAAAATCGACTGAAGGACAAATCTAGATCGTTACATTTTTAATCACTCAATCGGTCAGATTTTTAATCAGTTAAAATTTATTTATTCCATTAAATCAGTACATAATCGTATAACGTTGTGGTAAAACTGTTTGCTAAATTTTCCCTTGCTTAGTGAATGTCATAAAACGGGCTTTACTTTAGTGGTAGTTAGCTGATTGAAGCATCTATAGGCTATAAACCTTCACAGATCGAAAAGTTTAATTATAGGTATTTTGAAAGATGCCCGCCCTATCATTCGCATTTTAAGTAACTAATGTTGTTATTTAATACGTATATAAATGGTATTTTATAAATAAGATTATTTCCTTAAAGTGCTTATATTAATTGATACAAGATGCTGTGAAATGAGAGATGCTGGGTTTAAATTCCTGAGTTTAGTGTATATCATTCCTTCATGTTCCTAATAAAACAATAACTTATCTTATATCTTTAAACGAGCAAATCTTGTATATATATATATATATATATATATATATATACATACATACATATATATATATACCTATATACATACATACATACATATATATATATATATATATATATATATATACACATACACATATATATAATCTGAATCTCGGAAACGGCTCCATCGATTTTCATGAAATAGTTTTAGTATACAGGGGATTTCGGGGCGATAAATCGATCTAGATTAGTCTTATGTCTGAGAAAACGCGTGTTTTCGAGTTTCCATGCAGTTTTCTTTTCCATCATTCCACGCATAATATGGTCAGGTCAGTAATTCGAATCTCGGTCGCATACAAAGTTTTTACTTTTGTTTTTTTTTAATTATTTATTCAAGTTTTTAGTTTAAAAAAAAAGAAAATTGTACTTTAGTCCAAAAACTGCGAGCGAAGCTCGGTAGCCCAAGTACTATTAATAATGGGCTACGAACATTTTATAAATATGTACTTTTCTTTAAAGGCCCGTCAATCTGTGAAACAGACGGTTTCTTTATTTATACCTTATTTTTTCGATTTTTACACCATGTAATAGAAAATGCTCAGAAGAATATAGAATATAGGTAACTATTACCTATAGATTTTACAATACAAGAACTACACGACTCGTAGGCCATAACTCATTAAAACGTTTAACTAATCGTTATTTCTATATTGCTTTGAGAATAGTGTGAATTCACAATAATAATATGGATAATTCAATTCAACGATGATTGCATACCATAATAATATGCCATTCTAAATATTATTTATTTATATTACACCGTATTGATATTTAACTTTAGAATAATATTCATTTATTTTATACTAGCGACTTACCCTCGCTTCGTGCGTGAGTCCTTAGCTGCCAAACGTATAGTTTATGTGTTGTTCCTAGTCGTAGTCTATCTATATGCAAAAGTTTTAGTGTAAAGAACTAACACACGTACATACAAACTTTCGCAGCGATAACAGTAGTCAGATAACATGCTATTTAATATACCAGAACATTAAATAGATACATATGTTTTATATAAGTGTATTCAGCATTATATGAAAATATTGTATCATGTTTTTTTTACAGAGACACCCTCTACCGTCTTTCACTTCGTGGTCTACGACAGTTAGAGCGTGCGGAATGGCCGGCACCAGCCAACACAACCAAACTATGCCAATACAAAGGTCAAACAGAAGATAATTGCCATAATTACATTAAAGTGTTACTGGCATATGGACATAAGCTTTTCGCATGTGGAACCAATGCCTTCAGTCCTCTTTGTAGCTGGAGAGAGGTAAAGTGTTAATTGAATATTCATTGATTTTTTAAATCCATACCATACATTTTTCTATTACTAACTTTTGATCGCGGCTTTACTCGTGTGTTATGATAAAAAAATGTAGTTTTTTTCCGTCAGGTGATATTAATAAGCAGGTAAAAACTGAAACATAGACTAAATTGCCGATTGTTTTTACTTTTTATGTTTATTTTAGGCTTTGATTCTATCCAAGTAACAATATCATTAGAAATAAGGTAGCTCTAAGAAAGTATTATGACGTAGCTATTTAAAACTGTTTTTTAGTATGAAAGTCATGCATATTTTTTGCATATTTAAAGATACTTTGTTATATTGCAAACTATAAAGTACCTTTTAAAATAAGGTTATATAAATTCAAAGTTTATTTAGACAGTAAAATGCTTAAACATATCTTACATGATTATCTATATTATATAGGATGTATATAGATATGAAATCTTTCGTTAGGTTTATAGTTACACTTGCCAGTTTCTTTGATCGTTGGCTATTTGCGTTTAATGCATCGTCAACATAATCTTGCTTATTATTCGCTTCGAGCTCAGGTGACTGCAGTGTGTGGTGCATCTTACTAAGTAAATATTAGCTATATGCTAATACATGTTCTCAGGCTGCTGTGCCGATATAAAGTATACTTACGAATGTATGATTGTTTGTCATATGATGTTTTTTGATTTTAGTACTAACAAATATGCCTAATTAGTAGGGATTTGATATTTAGTGTGCCCTATCTATATTCATTAAATCATTGTGTACCGTATTCAGCCCTTTTTAACGTCCCACTGCTGGGCACGGGCCTCCCTTTAGTACGAGGTGAATCAGGCCATAGTCCACTACGCTGGCCAAGTGCGAGTTGGCGGACCTCACATGTCTTTCGAAAACTTATTAGGTTCTCTCAGAAATGCAGGTTTCCTCACGATGTTTTTCTTCACCGTAAGGCAAGTGATAATCATGTTAGAAATGATTCACACATAAAAATATCAGAGGTGCGAGACCCGGGATTTGAACTCGCTTCACTCGGTTTTCCAAGCGCGCGCGTTACCACTAGGCTACCACTGGCTTTTCAAACTACCTTTTTTTCTTTTCATTGCGTACTAACGACACTTATTGTTTGTGTAGTCTTGCTATTTTTTATCTTCATTACACTTGTATAAAATTAGTAAGATGATATCTTATCTCAGTAAAACGTAAGATAACATTAAATTTTAAAGTTCTAAAACAAGGTCGCTTGTAATTAGCCGTGATATAATATTTAGAATTTCCCACTTAATACTTAATTGTAAAACGTGTTTCAGTTGTCATGAACTCATTAACCCTCCTTTTTAGTCATAATTCATTAATACAAATCTCGTTTCGTGACTGTTATCACGATTTATGTATGAAAATTTGAATACGAAAAGATTTTGTGTAAAATATTACGAAAAAAAAGAAAAAAATATAATTACTCGAAATATTTTTTTAATTACTACATTTTTTATTTATTTTTCGTTTTAGCGCGTTAAATTTAATGTGAAAATAAATTGTTTTAAATGTTTAAAAATATTTATTAAGAATATACGAGCTTCAGCCTTGATACATATTAATAAATATAAATATGTCGGGACATTAACACACAGCACCATCTAGTTCCATGTTAAGCTACGAGGCTTGTGTTATGGATACCAGATAGTTGATACACTACACATATTATATAACTTTTAAATACATACATATTATAAATATATACAAATTGTTTTTTTTTGTTACCAGATTGAATCATTAAACATGGTATCAGACTGGGTGTCTGGGGTCGCACACTGTCCACATAACCCAAATTCCAATATAACTGCAATATTTGCAAGCAGCGGAGAATATTATGCAGGGACACCGACGGACTTTACTAGCTCTGACACAGCTATATGCAGGTTAGTAAATCGGTGATACTTTAAATTAATTAACTATAATATATAGAATTCTAAGTAATTCTAGGTAAGCTACAACTTAAGTTTTTAAACTTAAAATATTATAGCTTCCCCCCGATGTGTGTCCACCGTGTCGTGGATGGGGCATTCATTATCGTCTAACAATCCAGCCGAGCGCAAAGCTAAGAGATACACTAGAAGGTGGTCTATTTTGGTAGGCGCTGTACTATGTGGGTTGCTCCTGGTACTTCTTCGACAGCGGAGTGGACTGTGGGAATATGGGAATAAACCCTTGGTTGTGCGTTTTGTTTCGCCAGACCTGCCGTCGGGGCTTCGTGGTTGAGTGATCCTGCGAGTCCCCATTAAGACGGGGAGGTCCTATTGGGTTTTAGTGGGTAGTACTGGCTTTTCTAGCCGGCGAGCCCCAAATAACATGTATGTCTAAAATAATACTAGCTTAGGTTTTAAAAATCAAATTATTAATGTTTCTTTTTAGAATTTAGAACTCTTAGTTAATCACCAATTTACACTTGGCCTGTTTTCTTAAGCAAGATAATATCATTATTTGAATTATTTCTATTTGTAGGAGTCAAGGAGCTTCTAATAGAGAGTCAAGCATGTTGCGGACGACACAGTACGACTTTAACTGGCTAAATGAACCACAGTTTGTGGGAAGTTTTGAAGATGACTTCTTTGTTTACTTTGTGTTTAGAGAGATCGCTGTGGAGTATATGAACTGTGGAAAGGTAGGAAATATTTAATCTATACAGATAAATGAAATGTCTGTTTGTAATGTCAAAATAACAGCGTTTTACTAAATGCATATGATATTATATACGGTACTTATAAGAAAAACACAATTTTTTAAATTCTGTCTGTTTGTTTCGGATAATCTCTGAAACGGCTGGACTGATTTTGACGGGACTTTCTCTGGAAGATAGCTGATGTTATAGGGAATAACATAGGCTACTTTTATTTTAGGAAAAGAATTAGGGTTTTGCTCAAAAAAATTAAAACATACCTAGGGACGAACCCGAGTTAAGCGAGGCTGAGTCGCTAGTTAAATGATATTACAATTATCCTCGATATATCTAACTGGATGCTCCCATTTCTAGTTTATTCACGATTATATATATTTGTTATTTATATCTAAGAAAGTCCTTTCAAGCATATATTTTCGAGAATTCCCAAAGTCACTTATTAAGTCATTAATAATTTATTTATGCATATACTTTTCTTTTAGATAATTTACTCACGTATTGCACGTGTTTGCAAGAACGATTCAGGTGGACACCTGGTGATGAAGGACAATTGGAGTACTTTTCTCAAAGCCAGACTCAAATGCGCAATACCTGGAGATGTTCCTTTCTACTACGACGAAGTACAAAGTGTCGAATATTTGTCGCAGGAGAAAATTCTTGTTGCAGTTTTTACTACACCTACGTAAGTAATTCGATATGTTAAAATAATAAACCCTTTTAGACAATTTAATGCAATAATTATATCAGAAGTAGCAGATTCGATTCTGACATAGGGCCTATTGTAGGTAGGTCTGTCTGTTTAAATTATGCTTGTATTCACAACATGAACTTAATTTTTTTTAAACAATATGGAAAGGTTAAATGGCATAAAAATAAAAATAAGAAGTTGTGATTAATTATAGATGACGATTTTGAAATGATTGCGTAGTTATTTAAATAAGGATATTTTGGTCACGTTGGCAGTACTCAGAGAAACCTTAAACTGCTGTTACATTTAGTTTACCAACATCCAATTATTATTGTAGCGCGTGCCTACAGTAATACACTTTTATGTCTTCGCTTTAATTTGAAATTTATACGTTTTTATTAATATTACATATTATTGTAAATTGATATAATAATTAAGGAATATTGATTGAAATAATATTAGTATTAGAATGAATGTTAATGAATGAATGAACAATTAATCATTTGTCCACAGAAATAGCATAGCAGGCAGTGCAGTGTGCATCTATAATATGTCAGACATCCACTTAGCGTTCGAAGGGTCGTACAAAGTACAAGACTCGCCAATGTCTACGTGGGAACAGAGAACACCATCACGGGAAGCAAGGGAACATTTCAGATGCAACACTGACCCTAGGTCAGTATATTACACTTTAATATTTACTAACGACTCGTCCTTGCTTTGCTCAGGTTCGTCCTTAGGAACGTTTTGACGCTTAGTATGGAATAGTTTTTTTTGATTTTTTTTTTGTGATTTTTCCAATGTTTTAAATAGTTATTCTTCTATTCGGGGTAAAGACATATCCAACGAAATAAAGATCATAAAAATCTATTAGTTTTCGAGGTATAAGTGTTGTAACAAACCCGACTTTGTTTTATATACATATATACTAGCGACTCACCCTCGCTCCGCTCGGGTTCGTCCCTGTGGTGGGGTCTGGGTAGACCACCCTTATCACTTAGGGGTATGAAAAATAGTTTAAGTCCTATTCTCAGTTTTACTGAAAACACACACAAAACTAAATAAGAAACGGTCAAGTCGTTTCGGAGGAGTTTTGTTACAAACACTGTGACATGAGAATTTTATATTAGACACTAGCATTGCCCGCGGCTCCGCCCGCGTTCAGATGACCAAAAACCAAATTCTTAGGTTTTACATATAAGTATATTCTTACAATGCAGTTTTGGTATTTTTTTTTTTTGGTTGACCCGGATAACCAGCTATCACCATACCAAATTTCATCAAAATCCCTCCAGTGGTTTTTCCGTGATGCGGTAACAGACAGACAGACAAAAATTTTTAAGACTATAGATTCGGCCTCTGTATCATCGATAATAATGTCTATTTCAATAAAATTTTCCAAAAAATATTTAATGTACAGATTCGACTTAGATATTTTTTATACCTTAACTCTCATTAAGAGTATGATATTTATCTACTATAGTATGATGTTTTATATAATACTAGTGACGAAACTCTGAGTAACTTTTAGGAGCAGATTAATAATAACATACCCACTCTCTGGCCTTCTACTTTCTCTATAACAAAACATGTTGACCAAAAAGTCACGTGACATGCTATTTTAATTGTTAATGCTTGGAAGAATCTTCTTTACAAACATACTTTTTGACTGACTTCAAAAATATACACAATTTGGTTGTTTTTTTGTACGCATGTTACGCAATATCTTCGCAAATCGTTATTTCTTAATTTTTGTTTTTAATACACCTTGTAAAATGTGCCGAAAGAAGTATAAGTTAAAAAAACCGCTTAAAGGTTAAATTATTACTTTTAAGTGTTTTTAAAGTTTCAACCATTTTTAGTTAAAAAATAACTATTTTCTTAATATTTATTTGTATCTTAACCTGGATTTGAATTCGCATGTACATATCTTTTGTGTGGTAAACAGAGAATGTAGTAACTTACTACCGGTGTCTACTAACTCACAAGTGTTATCTCTTAAGGGTTTATTGTCGGACAGTGCATTTGATATCCTGACTCATAGCCTATTGACTACTATCGATCTTTGTTAGTTATCTATACGTACATAAAATAATATAGCCACAGGGTCAAGTTTGCATATTAAATTTTTAAATTAGAATTTTTTAACTTCCATATAAATTATTAGCAACTTACCCTCGCTTTGCTCGGGTTCGTCTCTAGCTTGCTTCCCAATACAATCTTTCATCCCCGTTTTCACTCCCTTGAGAAATGATTTCCGAAATAAAAAATATCCTATGTCCTTCCCAGGGTCCTACCAGTTTAGTAGATCCAGAGATTACCCCCTACAACCTCACAAACTCACAAAGTTGACCTCTTTATAATATTAGTAATAGATTAGTATCGTATAGTATTATATGTAGTTGAAGTTCTGTATAATATGAAATCTCATAACAGCTAAGGTTAATAATGTCTTTCTGACCGATTTGGGTCACGGCGGCCAATTTCATTGAGACTAGCCAAATACAGGAGATATTTTAGTGCACAAAAGTCAAAGTCCGTGGAACGGTACTTTGACACGACCGGCATAGGATCAACGCGATACGTCTTCTGTGATCCACGGGGGTGAAACACCGCCAAAAAAAAGGCACAGGTTACAACCTTCTGAGGCCTAATTGAAAAGCCTTTTTTATTCATAATCAGATATCTTTTGTAAATAATGGTATATAAGAATGTCATATTCAAAAAGATATTTATTTTACACAAAGATTGTTAATGTTTTAAAAGTAAATTTCAATAATTTATTTTATAATTTGAGAGTAATTAAAAAGTTCATTTCAAAGAATCGTAAAATGTTAATGGGGTATTTTGTTAAGTTAGTTTATGTCCTGCCGAAATTGTTAAACTTTATAAGGAAAGGCAGTTTTAGTTAGCTCGACAGCTCAGTAGATGGTCATACTGAGTCGGAGATAGGGGATTCGATTAATGTAGGTTAATTTGCATTTGTCCAGTCTAAGGAATCATTTATTGGGATTTAACAGGGGTTTCTTTTATTTTTTTTTCTCTTTTCAACTTAACATGGATAGTAGCGGACAAAAATGTAAATAAAGTTTATTTTTAAATCACTAAAAAGTCCCCATAAGAACTAAAAGAACGACTATATTCTTGCCGTTCTTTTATTGGTAATAATTTTATAACACGAAATATATTAAATTACTAGAGACTCTAGGTTGCATACAAACTTGCACCACCTTAACGGATGATTTCCGGGATAAAAACTATCCTATGTCCTTCCCAGGTCTCTAACTATCTTCTTACCAAACTTCATCTAAATAAGTTCTGTAGTTTCGGAGCCTATTCGATACAAACATACAAAAAAAATCCTTTTTATAATATTTATTATTATTATATTAGATTATAAAAAAGGTTAATAGTACATTCACAAAGGTTTATAGTACACTAGCATTACAGTACAGTACATATTAGTATATTAGTTGACCCGGATAACCAGCTATTACCATACCAAATTTCTTCAAAATCCCTCCAGTGATTTTTCTGTGATGCGGTCACAGACAGACAGATAAAAATTCTTAAGACTATAGGTTCGGCCTCTGTTAGCGATAGTAATGTGTATATCAATAAAATTCTCCAAAAATATTAAAAACACAGATACTGCTTCATTAAATTTTGTATCTATAGATGTAACTAATTTATAAAGCCAAAAAGATTGTTTTTTTGATAATTTAAACACGGGCGGGGCCGCGGGTAATTTAGTAGTAATACTAATAAAATCATAGAAAGGTCGAATTTGTACATTCAATTTTTTGGAATTAAAACTACGTATTTTAAAGACACATGGCGACATCTATTGACAAATATCTAAATAATACAAAAATAAATATTCATTAAAATAATTTTTTTTATGAATAAAATAGTGCTATTGATATACTTTTTCAAGATTAGCTATTTTTAATAGTTTTTGACAAATTTAGTAAGTTATAGTAGGGGAGCCCAAGAGGGGATTTTCTGTAGTTACTCGAGCGCGGCAGATTAACATAAAAGAGGTTACCTTGCACTCTATTGAGTACTTTCACCACAATATAAGTCTTCTATATAAAGGGGCGCGTCTAGGGAAGCTGATTAAAATATTTAAAAAATGTTTTGATAAGGTAAAAATACTTGAAACCGTCAGATTAAGGTGTGGTAGGCTAGTCACATCCTGAAAAGTGTCCAATTTAATAATCTGCCGATTTGCACAAGCCTGAGAGGCAAAAATCATCATAAACTTTATAGTCGATTTTTGCCTCTTCGGCTTGTGCAAATCGGCAGATTATTGAATTGGACACTTTTCAGGATGTGACTAGCCTACCACACCTTAATCTGACGGTTTCAAGTATTTCTACCTTATCAAAACATTTTTTAAATATTTTAATCGGCTTCCCTAGACGCGCCCCTTTATATAGAAGACTTATATTATGGTGAAAGTACTCAATAGAGTGCAAGGTAACCTCTTTTATGTTAATCTGCCACGCTCGAGTAACTACAGAAAATCCCCTCTTGGGCTCCCCTACTATTAACTTGCTAAAATCTATATAGTATCATCGTTTTTTTATTCTAACCAGTTTTTGTATTTTTTCTCAGAAATAAGATATTTTTCTGCGGTAAAAAGTATCCTATCTGTTGACCCGGATAATGAGCTATGACCATACCAAATTTCATCAAAATCCGTCCAGTAGTTTTTCTGTGATGCGGTAACTAACAGACAGACAGACAGACAGACAGACAGACAAAAATTCTAAAACTATAGATTCGGCCTCTGTATCGATAATAATGTCTATTTCAATAAGATTTTCTAAAAAAATTTTATGTACAGATTTGACTTAGTTAGAATTTTATTATATGTATAGATTGTATAAATGTATGTATGTGACAGTACGGTAATAGAAGGAATAATTTGAATTTTATATAAAAAAAGTTATAAAATTTCTTTTCAGACAACGCCAGTCTATGGAGTATCATAAGTATCACTTAATGTACGAATCTATCCAGCCTGTATCTGGGGAGCCAGTATTTAAAGCGACCTTAGAGCGCTTCACCCACGTGACTGTCGATGTTGCCAACACTAAACACGTTGAAAAACAATTAGTAGTGTTTGTGGCAACACAGAACAATGATATTTTAAAGTTGGCTATACTGCCCAAGTATGAAGGCGCGTGTGTTGCAGAGATTTGGAAGTTAAAAGACGAGAAAGGCGGATTTGATATATTGTCGATGCAGTTCGTTAAGGATACTGTAAGTACATTTTCATAATTAAAGTTTTATTGATAATAATATAATTTGGCTGTAATTCTGAAAAAAAAATATATTTGAAAATTGAGTATTTTCTTTCGTTCATAATAACAACATTAGTAAGTGTTTAAAACTATGGTCAATTACTCATACACAATATATTACATAAAATTGCTAAATTTGAACTTTTTACGTGTAAGTAATATGTTTTATGCAAACGCTCTATAGTCCTGATATCCTTTTAAGGGTTAATTAATAAAAAAACTCCACCGTATAAATTTCTGCTTTGGACAGTCGTACAATTTATTTTAGTGGTAGGTACTAGGTACTCAATTCAAGTATAAAAAGGAATATAAATTCTTTTTTTCTTTTCGTATGTCATTATACTTTTTACTACTCGTAGGTTTTAATGAATTGTAATAAAAAAATTTTAGGTCGTTAAGTTAAAAAGTAATAACAATATGAGTGTGAATTATTTACAGATGTCCCTCTACATAGGTAGTGATACAGGAGTTTTACGTATATCCAGTGAACGTTGTTCCCGATACAAAACCAAATCTAGCTGCGTGAATGCCGTGGACCCGCACTGTGGATGGGATGATGCTAGAGAGAAATGTCTTAAAGCATCTACTTATATACATGAGACGTACTTCACTCAAGTCACTGGGAGCTGTCCGTCTGTTAGTACGCCTGGTAAGTTATATTTTAGTATATTTATATTGGTTCTCCATTTGTATCTAATCAGCTTGTTTATTGTTTTCTTTATATAGTTTGTTTAAAATTTTTGTTGTGATTTTCTTAAGATTGATTTCTGCGGATGATTTTGAAATGGTTAGTGGATATTTTGTGTTAAAATTTCCAAGAATTAATAAAATTTCTTTTAGTTTTCTTTATAGTTTAAGATCTGAACTAAGGTCTGTCCTTAACTTTCGCTTACCGGATAATTGAAATGTATAGCTCAACAATGATTTTTTTTATATGTGTTGTAGTAGGTATTTCTGTATCTCTTGTGATCTATCAAATAAGGTCCACCACATGTAGTACCACTACGCTTTCCCTTAGCCAAAATATAAAAATTGCCCTGTGCGGGATCGAACCTTTTACTTCCTTCATAGGAGTCTGCGCGGATTATTAAAATATAAATACTATACAAGTTTAATATTGTTTCAGTGGACGGTGGTTGGTCATCGTGGTCGGAATGGGAGCAGTGTATGCAAGATGGTACACAACAAAACTTGTATGGAGACGGAAAGCCTGACATGTGCTTGTGTAGAACAAGACACTGTGACAACCCTAAACCTGCTAACGGTGGACAGGGATGTACAGGTGAGTTTTCTGTTTATATCTACACTATTATAAAGAGCAAAGATTTGTATTTGTGTATGTTTGTAACGAATAAATTCAAAAACTACTGGACCGATTTAGATAAAATTTGGTAAGCAGATAGTTTGAGACACTGGAAAGGACATAGGATGAAAATGGGGATGAAAGTTTAGATGGGGGATTAATCTAGGGACGAACCCGAGCGAAGCTAGGGTAAGTCCCTAGTATTTAATATAATTATGGTTTCACTTTACGTTTTGGTGTTTATTAACACCGTTTATATGGTTGTCTTTGAATCGTTCTTGTATGATAGTATCTCCTTAATAAAGGTTCCACTTTTGTTTGGAGGCAATTTATAGGATCACATTAGTGTCTCTCTGATTAGTGACTCATTGTCAATGTATAGCATAAATAAAAAAGCTATTTTAAGGGTTAATATACTCTCAAAAGAAAAAATAGATATTACTAAGAAAAGGTACGAAACTTAGGCATATTTTACCTCTGTATATATTACTGTAGTCCATGCCTGGCAGCGGGAAGGTAAAAAAGCTATTCTTACTAGCGCCTTACGCTTATATCGCTAGGTTCAACCCTATCTCTGTAGTTTTTCTAATATCAGCCGTTTCAGCGTAAAGGAATATAAATAATCACACATATTTTCAGATTTATAATAATATTCCAATTTTCTCTAGGTGCAAGTATATCAGTAGCAAACTGCACCGTCCACGGCGGCTGGTCGGCGTGGTCGGCCTGGTCCGAGTGCTCCGCGTCCTGCGGCATCGCGGTCAAGTTCCGCAGGCGCTCCTGCACGTCGCCGGAGCCCAAGTTCGGGGGCAGAGTGTGTGTTGGACTGGAAGTGCAAGATTTGTTCTGTTCTAACTTACCGCCATGTCCAGGTGAGTGGTTTGAGTTGTTTATTGTGTGCGAAAATTGGTTTTGAGTTATATTAAGTTAAAGAAATACTTAAGAAACGATAGTTAAAATAAAACTACGCAGTTCTACTCTCTATCTATTTATTTTATCCAAACAGTAAAAAAATATATAATTTGCTTGGATACGCAGACAATTATAAATTAATAAAAATAAAATATGCTGGAAAAGGAAAAAATCCAACGTCATGCCGTGTTTTTCTTTGGGAAATATAAATAAATAACTCTTAAAACTGACCAATTACTGAATTAACAATAAAAAAAAAATTACCTATATTTTCTAGACCCAGCATTAGCACCAGTAGACGGGTCCTGGTCTCCATGGGGTCCATGGTCAGCATGCTCTGGTAGCGGTTGCGGGTCAGGAGCTGGAACTAGAGAGAGGAAGAGGGTGTGTGGCAACCCTGCGCCCTCGCACGGGGGCGCGGATTGTGAGGGTGAAGAGGTCGAGAAACAAACGTGTGATCTCCGCGCTTGTGAACTGAGGAAGGCCACTGCGTGGACGCCATGGGTGCAAATACCGAGTAAGTGAATTTTTAAAATGATAGATTTTGAGAATGGAATATGTGTGGCAGCCCTAAGTCCTCATGTGGAGTGGTAGATTGTGAGGGTCAGGAGGTTGAGAGGCAGGGGTGTGATTTATGTGCTTGTAAAGTAAGGAAGATCCTTGCATTGTCGCCCTGGGGGCAAGTACAGACTCACAGAGTAAGTGGATTTTTTAAATGGAATTTTGAGAATAGAAAAGGATGTGTGGCAGCCCTGACTGCACTCATATGGAATGGTAGATGGTGACTTAGAAAGTTCTTGCACTGTAAATTAATAGTAAAATGTCAAATTTAATTCCATATGATATTCAATTGAATTGTTTCAGGTAATGCATCGGATGGAAGTTACACTGAGAAGAGATTTAAATTTTTATGTAAAGCACCAACTCCAGAGCAAATAAGGGTTAGTTGGAAAACACTATTACAGAAATATATTTTTAACAGCTGTAATATAAACAAAATATGTCTAATTCTAGTCTACTATACGCCATAAGGCTCCATCGTCATTAAATTATTTTCCGATTTTATTCCGGTTTTAATTTGAGTTTTTTTCGACGTTTCGAATTCTTTACGGCATACATGCTTATGAGAGAGTTTTCTTGCTATAAAATCCGAAAAGCAAGTTTCTATTAAAATGTGAAAAATTTGAGTGAATCTAAGAAAGAAAATAAAATTATAGGCATAAGAGTAAGTGACATAGTAAAAACATAATTCTAGCCTTTTATGGTTGATAAGATATAATGTTTTAACCACCAGCTATCCCTATCCCGGGAAGAAGAACGCTACTGCAGCCCGCGCGGCGCGTGCACGAGCGCGCCGCCGGACGAGGCGTGGGGCGCGTGGGGCGCGTGGGGCGCGTGCTCGGCGCCGTGCGGCGGCGGCCAGCAGGCGCGCGCGCGCCGCTGCCGCGCGCCGCCCTGCGCCGGGCCCGCCGACATGCTGCGCGCTTGCAACACGCATGCGTGTGTTGGTGAGTCTCGTCATACCATCGAACAAAAAAGTACTAAAGTCTGATTTTTAATTCCACGGAAATATGACAGCTATCATACTTTGACAATTCAGATATCATAAACCCTTTCTGTCTTGTATTTTTTTAATATAAAATAACAAAAAATATGAAACAGAATTAGATCAAGTGAACTATATGTATGACATTGTAAATAGTCTTTATTTTGTGCAATCAATGCACGTTAACTATAATGTAAATTATAATAAAACATAATAAAACAGAGTAAAACAAAATATTTTACAAACAAAGGGGTTTTACTAAAAATAGGCTTGCAACCTATGGATTATTGGACAGGGATTCCTGTAATAGAAAAATAATTTCCTTAATAATTATTGTAACTTAAATAATATGATAATAAAAAAAATGATTACCATTTTAGACCTATCAATATTTTTTTAAGTCTTATTTTTTCTAATTGAAAACTTAACTTCAAGAAAGGTTTATTTTTTAATTTTGCTAAAATGCTTTCCGTTTTTAGTGACAATGTTTCAAAGTTAACAACATTTCTGAAATGTCAGAATTCCATCGAATTAAAAATCAGACTATAGACTATAGTCTGTTTTTTAATCTCAGATAATAAATTGACACATGTAAATGTCAAATTTACAAATAATACTACCAATTTTTTTGTGCTGTGTTGTACCTACAATACCGGTTTGTTGAATCGTAACTTTTTATCTTTTTTAGACGATTCGCTTCAAAGTTTTATATTCTGAAGTGTATCGTTAATTCTAAATCATTAAATATCATATTTATTAATTTTAAATAATATATTTAAATTTATTACCTCTATCAGGTGAATGGTCATGCTGGAGTGAATGGAGTGAATGTAGCGGCGGGTGCAACAGCGTCGCGACCGGACATCGAACCCGCACTCGCATGTGCCTGTCGCCCGAAGGCTGCGCGGACGCGGGCGCTGCTTTAGAGCGACGCATTTGTGTTAATAATTGTGCAGGTTAGTCATATTGTTTTAACTGGTAATATTTTTGAAGAATTTATTATGATATAAGTATTTAATTTTTTGATATTATTATTATCATTAATATTATGTGAATGTAATGTATATTTCGCATATAATTTTGATTCTAAGCTATCATAGGGACTTGGGAAAACAAGTTCAGCGGGTCCGAATCCCAAGTCTCGTTTCTTTGATATTTTCATGTGCGGCTAATTTTTAATATGATTACCGAAATGATTGATTATCTTACGGCGAAAGAAAATATCGTTATCAAACTTGCATATTTGAGAGAACCTAATTTTTTTTCGAAAGATATTTAAAATCACGAGCCCGTAATTCAGCAGCGTGGTCTATTATGGCCTAATCTCCTCTTTATTGAAAGGAGGCTTGTACTCAGCAGTGGTGTTTGAAAGGGTTGAATACATCCACATACAATTTTATCCTCTATATCATTAGAATCTTTACATTGACCAAAATATAATTATTAGACTATGACATTCACTTACAACAATTTTACTTCCCTTAAAAGCTATTATAAATCTATGAAATAAAGTAAGTTATATGTACAAAACAATGAATAATATAAACGTAACAGAATCCGAGAGCGGCTGGGGAGCGTGGGGCGAGTGGGGCGCGTGCGAGGGCGGCGAGCGCGTACGGCGGCGCGCGTGCACGGCCGGCGCCTGCGTCGGCGCGCAGCTGCAGGTAGCGCGCTGCTCCGACACCGCGGACGTTGATAATGGTAGCTTATGTTGAATAGTTTGATTTTTTCTTTATTTATAGTGTTTATGGTGTTTTGGGTTCCGTGGCTAAATACCTATAGCGGAACCCTTTTTCGTTATGTTTTTCTGGTTGTCTGTCGGTAAATCATATAATCTTATATTACGAGTATAAGTAGTTGCATAGTTATATGCTTTTAAAATCCAAGATATTGTGTCACAACTCAGAACGACCCTTCCTCCTCCAAAATACTTTCAGCACAATAATTTTGAAAAAATATAAATTAATATTAATATATATTTACAGAGTTATATGCGATGCCGGCATATAGTCAGAATGTGGAAATGGCGTCGTTTGTCACAATGTCCAACGAGTCACTCGGCATTGGCGGCATTATAGGCTGTGTGGTAGCTGCTTTTGTTATGGGTAAGATTTTTGTCATTATCTTCTACTATCATTTCGTCGTCTCCGTGCTTGTTTGTACAAACTCACTAACTGATCACTTCACTTCTAACTAGGGTATAAAAAACTGGTCTAAAATAATACTTTATTTGCGAAGGTGTTTTCACTAACATGGTGTTAATTCATATCTAAATAAATATATTAGGCAACTTAAACACTTAATTTAAATCAAAACTGACGTTTATACCATTGAAATTAGATGAATATCTTCAAATATGTCACAGAATAAAAATTATTCGCGAAACGTAATACTAACGAAGGTGACAGCGGGGCAATGGCAGACGGGGGCGACGAGGGTTCTAGTATCTAACATCTCAAAGCTGGGGATCATTGTTGGTTAAAACAATAATTATTGTATGCATTATTTTTTGCAAGAATGTTGCCTGTAGTGCCTAATTAGGTTTGAAGTAGTCATAAATTGTGACATTTTTTTTCTTAAAATTTTATGGAAGGTTGTTTAATATTGGTTTCGTTTTACATAGTCGATCATTTTAAAGTTAAAGGTAGCATTTTTGTTTCATATTTTCTTTAGCAATTTATTTTAAAATTGATTGTTGTGAATAGGGTTTTTGTAATTACATAATATACTTTTTTATGTTCGGGTGAATTTTATCGGAGGTAATTAATTAATTATATTATTAGTTAATACTTTCTTAGATTTACGCGAATATTTGACATTTTAAATAAAACTATCTTTTCGGATTATTTCGCGGATAATATTATATGCATTATAATTCATTAAATAAATTTTGCAACGAAGTATTATAAAGTTAAATTAATTTTATATCGTGCGATATTCTAGTAAACCGCCATCTACAGAAATAGCACACATTTACGAGATTGACGTCATGCCACGAGACATTGCGAACGAATGCCAAGAGATGGCTTGAAATATATAAAATTTTGTGTTCATAATATAATTTAAATATTACTGTTTTATAATGTTTTATAAAAAAATAATAATTTTAGCTCTAAATTTTAATTATTATATAAAAAAATAAAAAGCCTCATTAAAGTAAACAACGCTCGTTTTATACAACAGTGCTGAAACGCGCTAACGAAATTTTTAAGATCTTTACTTATATAAGAAATCGTGCAACATATTATAGCGTGTTTGTTGATAAGAGAGATTCTCCCCTTTATAAGGATCAAACGCATGAAAATGGTACAGTGTAACACCTTTGCCACGGTTTTTTACTTTCGCGATTAAAAATAAATATGGTACGTTTTTTTTATATTTTGATCCAAATTTTTTTAATATTTTATATTTTTATATGTTGCTGTCATATAAAAAAAAATAAAAAGTTATATTCAACACGCGTATGTAGGTGATTTCTGAATATATTCGTAATCTAAGTAAAATCTGATTAAATCTTTCCGAAATGATTGAAAGTTGAAATATCAAAAACTTACCCTTGAAGCTGTGGAAAAATAAAACGTCTAAGTCAACCATCAATCAAAAAAGTGCTAGATACAGAATCAGCGATAAAAAATGTCCTCACCGAATGAGCGCTCATTTGAACATTTGAGCGCGCTTTTAATTTAATGTCTTTTTTTTTGCGAAAACAACTTTAAACATAGCATTTAAGGTTCAATTTACATTGTTGTGTATTATTTTAACTAGAATAATTACCTAAACACAATGGGGGACAATTATAAGAAAACTTTTGTATGGGATTGTGTATCTAGTACTTTTTTGATCGATGAAGTCAACACAATTAAAAGATACGGACGTATAAGCGGCATATTTCGACACTCGCCAGGGAAATAAAACTTTTAAGGTACTTCCTGTTGTATAGAATCATAAAAGGCAAGAAGCGATGTTTTATAGCAAGTGAAAAATCCGGAAACCATAAATTGTAGTTACATCACAAAAACAAAAAGAAATGTTTTTGTTTTTCATTTTTTTAAGTATAATAACTTACAACGTCTTTTTATTTTTAAATAAAACTATCTTTTCGGATTTTTTCGCGGATGCTTTACAGCAATCATGGTCACGGGAGAGACCAAGGTGTTAGAAGTATCAAAGGTATTATATCTAAAATGTCAATTATTTTATTTAAAATATCAAATATTCGTGTAAATCTAAGAAAGTATTACGTCTTTTTATTTTAAACTTTAACAATAAAAACTTGTATAATTTTGTTTAACAGGTTGCCTAGTTTGCTTAGCGGGCGTCATATTCTGCCACCGTCGAGGCACTCTACCTTGGAATCGAGCGCCAAGAGTGCCTTCCAGCCCACACTATATAACCAAACAAAATAGTTATGTAACCGTACCTTTGAAGGAAGTGGTGAGTCAACATTTTTATATAAATATTTGACTATAAGTCACTGTTTCGTCTGTAGAATATGTAGTTAGACAAGATGCTCTTCAGCAAACCTTGAAGAAATGTAATATGTCAAACCTAATCGTTATCTCATAGAATCTATATATTAATACGTGAAGACAAAACTTTGAACACATTTTTAGGCATATTGCATGTACGGAGGAGTATGAGCTTTGGCATAGTTAAAGTTTATATAAAGAAGGACTGCAGAAAGCCAAAATTAATTGACTTTCTTTTACCCACGGATCCGTTCGCGCATTTTATTTATATATAATTACTTCACTGCTAAAAGATGTAGCATGATGTTAGTTATCTTTAATCAATATTACATATACGAGTACTTACATAATATAAAGATGAAAAGTTTGTTTGTCTGTACGAGCTTTATTTTCTTATGGAAAAAATCTTATAACTTATAAATTTCAAACATAACTTTGAAGAAAGAACCTCAATGTGGATCAAACTTAATGAATTATGGTTGATTTTCAACCACTTGACTTCAAAAATATTTGATTAAGTATGTAGAGTAAATGAAAACTACCAATCAGTTATTTTTTACTTTTTAGTGCTTTTGTTTGAAGTCGGTTTTTATTTTTTTTTGTTAAAAAGTTTTTATTTTGAAAATGTCTCAATAATGAATTACAATATTTTTCTATACAGGTGTTGATAAATACTTTACGTTTCGTGTACAATATTTAGATGGGCTTGATGTAAATTAGTTCAAATTATACATAGTAAATGTTTGTAACATACGAACATTTTAATTAATAAGCTCGACGGACATTATAATTTATGTTAAACATTATTAATATTATAATCTTACCTAACAAATGTTATTATGTATACGAGTACATATTATATATGTATGTACCCATATATACGTATAGTGTATTATATACATAATACGTGTACTATGTACTGAAACAAATTGTAAGACATAAATAAATTAAGTAGTGGAAAATTTCGAGCAGAATCGTCTTAGATAGGAAGCAATGAAGAGAGATAGAGGGGATTACTAACAGACACTGTGGATTAAGAGATTTTATTTAAAGCTCAGCAATCTGAAAAGAGCTGAAAAATATTTTTAATACTAAACATACATAACGTAGAAAACAATTTCAGTAAACGATAATAAGAAATAGCGAGGAAAAATAAAACGGGTAAAAATAATGCGAACTTATAGTTTCAAAGAACTGTGAACCCGACACTTAAACTTTAGTTATGAAAGTTGAAAGATAATCCCTTCGGTATTCTATCTACATTTAATCTGACAGTTAAAAGCTCTCTTATAATATAGATATAAATAACATAAACAATGAGCTTTTAGTTGAGTTTTTTATTGAGTGTTATCATTGTTATAGAGTATTTATACTTAACACTTTCTTAGATCTATGTGAATATTTGACATTTTTAAATAAAACTATTTTTTCGGTTTGTTTCCGTTGGGAACGTCGGACACCAAAATTAAAAATAAATCCGCGAAAAAATCCGAAAAGATTATTTCATTTAAAATATTTATGTGTCATGTTATTGTTCTAATCTATACCTACTAATATTATAAAAGACATTTTGTTTGTTTGTTTAAACGCGCTAATCTCAGCAACTACTAATCCGATTTGAAAAATTCTTTTTGCATTAGATAGCTTGTTTATCTACGGAAATCTACGGGCTATATATTATCATGCTATTCCCCAAGGGAGTGGGACAGAAATATATAGTCTATCTATTCCATACTACCCGTTAAAACGTACCCAGGGGCGAACCCGAGCGAACCGAGGGTGAGCCGTTAGTTATTGTATAATTTAAAATGGTTCTTTAAAGAGTTTTATCTTGTAGAATTATTTTAATCAAATATATTATCTAAAATCTTTTAGGATTTGAACAAATACAACTAGTAGGTATCTATTAACTTTTGTTAGACCAATCTAAAACAAAGTTTTCGAGCGTATCTAATAAACGGTCAAAGTTAGATACTTTAGTGTTAAAGGGCATTAAATGCTTAACGACCGCACAGTGAACACACATCATGGGTTTGATTTAACTATAATGTTACGAAACTACATAGATTAAAAAGAAAAGAAAGTGAAAAAAAGTACTGGTACTGGTGGTGGGTTCGAATCCCGCCGAGTATATTTAGGTATATTGATAATTCAAATACTCAACCTGATTAAGGTAAAGAAGTGTTAGTTACCAATCGAGGCGATAAAATGAGAATAGAGTTTAATTATTTCAGACATTTATTTTTTTCAATTCTTCTTTAACGTATCAAGACGAATAAGTAATATTATAAAAAAAATTAGTTATTAAAACATGTATATTTATCCATAAACCTCTTTTGTTATAGCCACGTAAAGCGAAACGTCAACCGTCATTTTCGGGTATCGGCAATTCAAGCGGCATCCTTCTTTCGAAAAGCAATAATATCACGAACCCAAACCATAATAACCCTATGGCGACACCAAAGTTGTATCCAAAAGCCATAGCGAATGAATACGACTCTATGGGCACATTGCGGAGGCATTCTAACCAGCCAAATAATAAAATAAATCTTGATATCGAAGAGGATAAATTCTACTGAAGCTAACGGATCCCAGAACACTTTGGGTAAGATACATATGTTATATGACGTGATTCAATTAGAATTATGTGAAAGATATGAAAAATAGATGTTTTATCTTAATTTTGTATAAAATTAAGCAAACAATCTTTATGGATTATGGCAGATATTTCTCCATTTTGTTTATAGTTCATTTATTTACAAGTAATGCTAATAAATCTGTCTGGACATTAGTTATGTCATAGAGCTAGACCAACAAAAGAAACAACGCTGCCTATAAATAATATATTAATTGGACTGTCTTCCATATTAAACGAGAAATATCTATTCCATACACAAAAATGTTCTTTAATATCTAAGAAAATCATAGACAAAATCTTCTAAAGGATTTAAAATTTGATTTTTCTTACAAAGGTATTTAAAATACCAGCCTTTACTAGACAATCTTACTTTATCAACATGAGATCTTTGCTATATAGTCTGATAAACTTTGAGCTAGATTGTAGATAGTGATTTATAGTGAATAAGAGTGTATGGACGTTGTAAAATGGAATGGTTTGTTTTATTGAATGGTGTTTAGAAGACGATAATAAATTGTTATCCAAATGAAACTGATTTCGATTTACAGTATACAATAGAAGCAAAATAACTTATTGTTCTAATATTATACTACATATTTATTATTGTAAGTAAATCCTGGGCTTTACATTTGAGTAGTCAAATAAGGTAGAAAAGAGGCAAATCTCGGAATGAGAGGTCTTAAGCTATAGCTTAAGACCTCTCATTTTATAAAATAATTTACCTTTGTTTTAAAAATCTCATATAATCTCGCCCACGTCTAAAATTATTACATGTAAAAGGTCACAATAGTTTTTTTACACGAACTTGAAACAAGTTATTTTCAAAATGAGATTTGAAGTCATTACTAAAGTTTTAGAGTGTAAAATTCTCTACGAATTTGGCCTTAAACAATATTTCATACGATTGTACGATCTTGGGATAAAACGCAAAGAGTGGGTAGCACTTAGTAGCCATACCTTACATTTCGAGGTTAAAATATTTAATAAGATATTATTATACAATCATTGAAGAATAGAAATTTTAAAACAATGTATTAAAATGGCCGAATGAATGAAATATATTTTTTAGTTTTTAACAATTCTTTAATGTTTTTAGAATGACATCTTGTATAAGCCCCCTTGATTGATCAGGCTATAAGCAACTTAGTTTGACAAGTAATAAATATTGGTATTTTAAAAACTTGCTAATATTTCACATGTATATTGTAAAAACATTCTCAAAAAGGTCAAACAGTATGGATTTCGAAATAATATTTATATGAAAAGTTGTTTGAGATTGCATTAAAACCGAATCCCGAGGGGTTTCATAGAAATGGATCTGTGTCTTCTCGTAATGTAATACATCATGTGGAGTGAAGGGTATTTAGGATACATGTACTGATGGGAATACGATTTCTATCTATTCATAAGTTTTCAAATTTATTGATAAACAGTACTAAGAAAATCTTCGAGTCTAATTCTAATTCTTAAACTGCTTTGATTGCGCTTTTTTGTTCAATAATTAGACAGATTATTTGCTTTTTCATATTTGAATTTCTACTAAAATCCTATACACAATACTCTATACATATAAATAGACAATCATGTTAAATCATTTAAAAAAATTGTAATAATTAATAGTGGAACATTTTTTAGATTACCTGGAAAATTACAAGTCTGACAAAAAAATCTAGTTTCTATGGAAACGTGTTAGAAGTGAAACTTCATTGGTTATACATATTTCAAATCTATAAGATTAATAAATTAATAAACACTTTTAATTTTACTCTCAGACAAAAATATGATTCTAACGAATGTCACACAAAGATGAGAGGATAATATTGTATATCTCTTTCTATCCAGCAGGATTCTTGCATCTATCGCATATACTCTAAGGGACGATCCCGAGCTAAGCGAGGGTGACCCGTTAGTTATAAATATTTTGCATGTTTGAAAACAATTAAGTAATAAAAATATTAATCTTTGAAAATAGCAACAATAGGAATATCATGGTCATTTTTTGGACAATAGCAATGGTTACTATGGTAACCATGACGGTTTTTCGTGACGCAACTCTAAAATTATACTCATACATCAAAGAAATTTTACTTCAAAAGTATATTTTTCTATATTTGATTTTAAAAGTTCAAGTTATTTTAAATATAATGGTATGACGTATTGACTTTGACGTATCAATAACGCACCCTTTTAGATTAACCCTGAGATCACATCTTTTTTCGTTTGATTTATTTATGTTCTGTACCGTATTCCTTTTATTAGAACCCATGAATAGATTTTTCTGCGATATCCTTTCTAAAAATAAATACGCGCCATTCAAATGAAATAAACAACACACCTAATTATATTTAAACATATCTGAAATGTCAAAAGCCAACTGTGTTTTCTAAAGGTCAGAGGACTGGTTTAATTTCTATATAAATGTTCATTGTATTATGACCTTTTTATAGAGATTAAAACTGATATAATTGATATACTTGAACGATTTGTTTCTTCACTCACTGACCCAACAGAGCTTATTTGTCTAAGTCTTTGAGTTCATACAAAAATCATAAAGAAAATCAAAATTTTCTGTTTTTCCCGCATTTCCCAATTACGCGGGTGACTTTCTTAATTTTTCCGTAAAAATCTTATCTATTATTACAATATAAAATATCTATTATTACAATCATTTTAAAAATAAGTTAAATCAGTCCAGCCCCTTTCAAGTGATGCTTTGATAAGCTTTGTTGATACAAACAGCGTTTCATTTTTATACAATTATTAATATGATGTGTATATGGGAAAAATATTTTTTACTACTCTTCTTCAATTCAATGTTATATATCTAAAATAGTCTAACTAGACGCTTTGTTCAATAATAATTAATTAAATACCCTTCATTCCTTTGACAGTATTGACTTCAACATGTTACGTCTCACTGTACAATTTAATTAGTAATTAAGCTCACCGGATTAATAGATGTCATGTAAATAACTATTCGCTTAAAGATTACATTCTGGAATTTCTACAATATTAAAGACAAAACAAATGCATTGACATTCTATGAAGATATAAAACCATTCACCGAATTTAAAAACAAGCGACATTTTGAGAATATTATATCACTGTATGTAATATATACAATTTTCTAAATTAAATATGAGTAGTATAATATTAAGAATTTAAATAGAATTTATATTTCTATCGTATCGTCTCTTTATCTCAACGGAGAATTTTCATTTGACAGGCTAAGATAATTCATTGAACTCTTAAGAATACTGGTAATTTGAAAAAAATATAGTCGATAGAATGGAACCGTTGTAGCGATAATGCTTCTTCAGTCTAACAAGGCCATGAGCCTAATTGCTTTTGTATCCTTTCTCCCATTTTTAAATGAAAAGATTTCTAATATTTTTGTCTTTTTAAAGAAAAAAACCTCTTTTTTATTTGAGAATGTTTTTTTTAGTCTATATTTGTGATAATGTGATTGTGAGAATGTTGTAAATTGGTCGTTTAAATGTCTTTATTTATTAGGCCAGCTATGACAATGTGTACCAATCCACATAATACCCATTACAATAGACAATTTATGTAGTTGTTTTTATTTACCCTTTATATATTTTGTGGATTGGATAATACATTTTGGCATAACTGAGTTCAATCTATACTAATATTATAAAGAGGTAAAGTTTGTGAGTTTGTGACGTTGTAGGGGGTAATCTCTGGATCTACTGAACCAATTTAGATGAAATTTGGTAAGAAGATAGTTTGAGATCCTGGGAAGGACATAGGATACTTTTTATCACGGAAATCATCCCTTAAGGGGATGAAAATGTAGATGAAAGATTGTACGGGGAATCAAGCTAGTAATTGTATATGTCTCTATTGAATTGTGTAATTTGGTAATTAGCGCCATCTAGTGAGTTCGAAGTAGATATTGAATCCAGTGCCATGGTAACGAATGTAATATATTAAAGTATTTTATATATAGTACTAGATATAATAATTATTAGTTTATATTTCAAATGATTAAATGTGCCATGTAAATAAGTAATAAATTAACATAGTGCTTATATATCACATTATAGCAGTACAAAGCGCGGTGCCTTTGCAACATATTATATGTATACAATAAATATATTATATTAAAATGGAATTATTTTAAAACGTTGAATGAGTTTCGACAAGCCGCCTGACTCATGTTGAGTCGAATTGTTATAATGTAGAATAGAATTTTGTATTTTTATATTGTTAATTGTAATTAAATAATTTTTTTATGAAATGATGTGTTAGATGTTACTATTAATATTGGCTATAATTTTGAAAATTTAATTTTTTCCTATATTAGAGTTCAGAGTTTATATGAAAATGTGAAAACTTTAAAGTATTATTAGTAAATGAAAAATAAAATTAATTTTATGAAATGAAAATAATAAATACTTGAGCATGTAGGAATTTTCCTAGATAAATAAAATTTAATATATTTCAGTGTTGTTAGTTCATTTTCAGTGAGTCTGAAGAAGCTTTGAATGTAACAGTGTCGAAAATGTCACTTCATATTCAAGCTATATAATGATTGTATCAAACTAGAAAGGTCAAAACAAATATTATGTAAAAATTAAAAATGTCCAGTTTTTATATGAAAATCTATGTTTTGTTTATCTGTTCCTTATATGTATGTCTTAGAGGCTTTTTCTTGAAAACTCACCGATTAAATGTTATAAGTAAAAAATTTTTTCTTGTACTTGTTAAATTATGTTTCCTGTATCCATTTTACACATTAAATATGCAGTTTTATCAATAGTTTAAAAATGATAAGAAAAGGTATTTTATCTCAGTCTCTCGGTCTGTATTCGTATTTTAATACAACTTTAATGCTTAATTAGAGTAAAGAATTATTAATGCTTGAAGCATTAATAATATTTTTTTGATGTTAAAATGTTGATTTAGAAGCTGTAA